TATTTTGACTATGACTACGGGCCATCATTTTTGTTTTTTTCCAATCACTAATGAATGTTCCCGAACAGATGGATAAGTTAAAAATGATTGTCAAAGGTCTAATAAGATCCACACAGTGTTTGACAAGAAAATGAGATAGCCCATCCGCATCTGTTTGCGTCGATGCCTTAAGGTTTAAGATGCCCTTTGAAACATACTCTTCTGTTAATGACAGGAAACCGAACGACTGACTTGATTCAGAATCATCGCTGCTAACAACGTCAACTGTGTCAGTCTCGTTTGCAACAACTTTGCGACGTTTCATGAATCCCACTAATATACTTTTAAAATTCAAAACTTAAAAAATTCTGAGCAATTTGATTTTTTTATTTTCAGTTTTATGTGATTTCAAAATGCGTGCAAATGCCCGAAGTAAAATCATGGCCGAGGAATTTAGAGAAGGTTTTTAATTCGTAATGTCATTATCATGATAATTTCTATGAAATCCGATGCCAAAAAATTTGCCGCACTGCTTTTTTCTCATATTTTTATACCCGAGCGCACTTGTGCACAAGGGTATTATAACTTTGTTCACATAACGGTTGTTTGTAACAGGCAAAACGAATCGAGATAGATATAGACAAATGTATACATAAATGATCAGAATGAAAAGAAAAATCGATTAAGCGGTGGCTGTCTATCCGACCGTCTGTCCGTCTATGCACACGATAACTCTAGTAAAAATTGAGATATCTTAACGAAACTTCTTTCAGGCGTAGGACGGATGGTATTGAAAATGGGCAAAATCGGACAATAACCACGCCTACCTCCCATATAACAGAAATTTTCAGAAATACGAAAACTGCGATATTTTGGTAACAACTGAAGATTATCCACTCAATATTTATATTTACAATAATTTTTAGGCGAAAAATAAGAGTATTATAAATTTTTGCGTGGCCACGCCCACTTATGGTTACATGTGTATATCTTGGTAGCCACTGCATCAATTTCTTCCAAACTTTACACAGTTGTTGACTTTGTTACAGCATACCAAATATCCGAAAATTTTCAAAATCGGACAATAAGTACCATTGTTTGGAATTTTGGAAAATGGGCGTGATATAGCCCACATATGACTATATAAGTTTATCCCGTTATGTCTAACTGAACGTTCTATCGGAGATGTTTAAAATAGGGGTAAAAGCACCCCGGCTTAGACTATGTTCAAACAGGCCAGTTAGCTTTAAATTGCGGCATTGAGTTTGGTGTTCACATACACGTCAGCTGTCCAATTAGCGATACGAAATCAGCTGTTGGATTACCTACAGTGATGGAAAAGTTGTTATAATCGAACCTGTATTAAGTTTGAAAGTAACAAGTGTTATAATCGAACCTGTATTAAGTTTGAATTAACAAATGAAACTTGGACAGGATGTTAAGGGAGGTATCCTTTAAACCTTGTATAACTAAAAGATATAAGCAATATATCTGTTTATCAAGAACGATAGAATACAAGATTGCGCATTCCCGCAGAATGACATTTGTGGCAACGGGTAAACAAAGAATATGGCGAAGAACAATGAGTTGACAGTTGTGAATTTGCAGTGAGAAAACGTGTTTTCTTCTCGATTCACCAATTTCTCAAGCCATCTTTGAATATAGCAAATTAAGCACAACGTTAACAAAAAATATACAACCACTCTTGAAATGTGTTCAAAAGAATAGGTCTTATTAATTAACTATTTAGAATTTTTGTGTTTGTATTGCAGGTGCGGAAAAAGTGATAATATCTTGTCGCAGCACATGTTTTCCTGCAGAAAGTGGTCGATGCTTGCTTACCTCCGATTTTAGTTTGTAATTTGTGGTATTTCAACGTTTTCAACTTAACATGTCGTGTTTAAAAGTGGTCCGTAAAGTGCTTCATGCATATTACGCTGGTGTCTAAATTGTATGGCTTCTCCTGCCGGCAGAACTCTACCCACTTTCTGGCCAAGGCGGCGTCGCGGGGAAACAAAAAAACTGCATTTGGAGGCTTTACCCCTACGGCTGCTGCAATTCAACACACGACACGACATTTTTATAAAGTTTTTATTACAAATAAAACGTTTTTTACTTCAGAACGCACGAATTACTTCGATTTTTCACCGGAAAGTACACAATATGTTTACAATACGTTTGCACTTGTTTCTAAACAAAAAGTGTGTTTACGTATTGCCATAAATGTCAAAGTCGGCAAAACCAAAGTAGCGGTTTCGGGAATGCGCCACCTTCAGTTCATTTCACCATGTCTGTTTATATATTTGTTGTTAAAATTTCTTAAGTCGTTCCATCTGATTTCCTTATCAAAAAGTGCATTTGTCACATACTTTCATATATATAAATGTACATAACACTCTACCTAATAGCTTACACACTTTTATTTTATTTTATCTTGTATACAAATCACTTTAATACAACTTTTGTTAACTTGTAAAAAAATTAAATTGCACCCATATTTACAATATCTTCGTTATTACTTAACTTTTTGCAATAGTTGATACATCAAAAGATAGAGAATTAAAATATATTTAAGAATTATAGAGTAAAAACTAATTTAAAATGCATAATATGCCTTTTTTTCAAGCTCACACTCAACTGTGTGCGTACGCAAAGCGTTCGCATGTGAACGCCAAGTTTTTACAGATGTGTGTGAGCGGCCATATGAATACAAATGGAACTCTTTGCTTTTGCGAACGTTCACGCCTCGCATTGAACTGTATATCAAGCTTAAGTGCGGACGAAGGGTACGATTGTAACTACTTTTCCATCACTGTAAGTAATCCAACAGCTGATTTCGTATCGCTAATTGGGCAGCTGACGTGTGTGTGAACACCAAACTCAATACCGCAGTTTAAAGCTTAATTGCCTCAGCTAAGGTCTAAAAGACTATGTTCAAACAGGCACCAAATTGGCAATTAAGAACCTTTTCACCAATTAAGACTTTAATTGTTACCCAATTTATCATACAAAAATTGAAATCATTAATAGCCAATTAATAATTACACAAACAATTTGGGTCAGATTCTCTATGCAACCCTGCTAGGGATGTTTAATTTTGACTTGGAGATATGTTTATTGAGCAAAGAGCAATGAGCTGCATGAACGAAAGACACAAGATCACGTAAGAACAAGAGAGTGAAAAAAGTCGATTTGTTTTAGCGGGTTCTACGCCATCTTGTTTCACTGGAAAACGAGCGAAAAGTAAACAAAGCAAAGAAAACAACGAAAACCAAAATTATCTAAAATTATTGTCAGCCACTTTAAACGCACAATTTAGGTAAAATGATGCAACAAAATGCTTTAAAATGTGTTGTCATGTTGAATTAACTCTTCTTTACTTGAATAAAAGTGTAAAATAGTGGTGCTTGTGATGTAAACAAACGCTCAGCTGACGAACCCGCTTTCGCAAACTTTTTTCTCAAAACCAGTTACAAATACAACGTCGCGTTCTTACGTGATCTTGTATTTTTGGTTCATGAATGAGCTGTTTGTTTCTGGTTCTGTTTTACAGGGATGGAAAATTGAAATATAAAATAAATACCTAATTTACGGAAAACTTGTAAAGTAGATAGATGTATCTAAAAAGTGAATATGTATTTCTATATAAAGAAAAACAGTAGGATCAAATAGGATGGAAAATTGAATTATAAAATAAATACCTGATTTACGGAAAACTTGTAAAGTAGACAAGAACGACAAAAGAACGTAGATAACAAGAAGGGACAACTCGTTAAGCTACAATTTTTCAAGTAAATTTGCAAAAGGAGCGGTGCGACAGGGACAACTCTCAGTCTATAGAACCTCATTCGCAACGCAATTTTCACCGAATGAGGATGCAAGAGAAAAATCGATGAAAATCAAACTCTTTTACATTGTGAACCGGAAGAGAACTAAAATTCTTTGCTTGAACAAGTCATGTTTGCATGGGGTTTGGCGGAATGGGAAAAGCATAGCGCAATAAATAGGTGAAGTAATAAAACACCTTTCTCGTTTTATTTTCTGTCTTTCGGCTGCCTTATAGTCAAATTTTAAAGGCAATTTTTTAAAAAAGGCAGTGTCAAAATGTTTCTCGCTCTAATTACTTCACCTGGTATAATTCCACAAGGTGGGAAAAATAGGTTTAAAGAATGTTTGACAAGTCGCTTGTATGGTGTATTTCGCTCTTTATAAAACTTCGGAAAGCTTTTTGTTCAAAAATTTGCAGAGCCATTTAACAACTCTGTGGTTTGTAAAACATGGTTGCATTTGCTATCTGCAAATATATCGAGAAAACTCCTCAAAAAATACTCAAGCGCATCCGAAATTCCTCACGTTTTGAGGAATTACGTTAAAGTGGTCACACTGGTCTAACCATCAGTGTTGAAAAGCGTCAAACAGGTGATACACGAATAGCCATGGGTAATTACGCAATTTTTTTGGCGCTAGCTCAATAACGCCAGCGTCACCCTTGGTGTCAGCGCACTAACCGAGCGCAATAGCGGAGTGTACTGAATTGCACACGGCGCCATCTGAGTGTGACCACAGTACACACCTTCATGCAGTGCAGTACACCATACAGTGGTGTCATTTCTATTATTTCTATAATTTTCTAACTGAATTTAATTGCTACGAATATAGTAAATGCCACGATATTCTATCATTCTTGAGTAAAAGCTTAAATTTGCGTTCTCAACACTCAAAAGCAAAAACATAGTACGTTTCGAAGAGTTAGACGAATTGTGTGTGTGTCTCATGTGTTGCTTGGTGTTAATGGCGCTGGCGCTTTCGTATGCTGGTGTTGGCGCGGCAACTCCGGCTACGGTGTTAACGCAATTGCGCCGTGAAGCGCAGTGTTACCCATGCCTATACACGAATGGTTAACCCAAGGCGTATTTAATTATTGAATGCGCCTTGGGTTAACCAAAAACGATATTTTTATGCAGGGACAAAATGGAACGATTTTGATTATTTATTTATTTATTTTTCAATCTACAGTACAAAGTACCTTACAGACTAAAGAAACAATAATAATTATATTTAATACATACTTATCAAATAATAGAATTTAAGATCAACACAAAATAAGATCTTGATAAGGAAAAATCAATTAATTTAAAAGAAGATAAGTCATTAAATTCTTTTAAGGCACGCGTAATAGGTGCATTACTTTCAAAATTAGTTCTGCAACTAGCAACTTAAAAAGGAAGAAAGCTTCGCAGATTTCTTTGCGGAACGTTAAAATTTATTCGCTCTAGAAGAGTTGGACAATCGACATTGCCATTAACTATATTGAAAATAAACGAGAGAGCTAGAATGGACCTTCTTTTCTCTAGAGAGCATAGATCAATAAGCAATAGCCGAGATTGGTACGGTGGCATTGGATCCTCGAACCGTAAAGAACGCAATGCATGCTTTAGAAATATCTTTTGAACCCGTTCGATCCTATTTATCGATTGTTGATCATAGGGTCTCCAGATAATTACTGCATATTCTAAATTGGAGCGTACAAGAGAAGTAAAAAGAAGCTTAAAAGTGTATGGATCAGAAAAATCAGTGGAACTACGTCGAATAAATCCCAATACCGAATAAGCCTTTGAAAGAATGAAATTTATGTGATTATTAAATGAAAACTTTGACTCGAAAACCACTCCAAGATCTTTAGTCTCTGAAACTTTGTTTAAAACACAGTTATCAATAAAATAAAGGGTAGATGTAGCATTAAGACGCCTAGTATAAGTTAAGTGAAAACACTTAGCAATGTTCAACGACAGCCGCGACTTTTCACACCACAAATGAAGACTGTTCAAATCACTTTGAAGCTTACTTGAGTCTTCCATATTGTTAACCATCGTAAAAATTTTCAAATCATCAGCAAAAAGAAGATAATTTGAAAAGCTAAAACAACTTCCAATGTCATTTATAAAAAGAACAAAAAGTAGAGGGCCTAAAATGCTACCTTGAGGAACCCCAGAAGGGGCAACAAAAAAGTCCGAAGTTGAGGAATCAATTGAGACAGCACAACGACGATTGGATAGATATGACGTTATCCATTGCAAAACGGATGAATGGAAGCCAAGGCAAGCTAACTTACTGATCAGAATCCTGTGGGAGACTCGTGTCAAACGCCTTAGAGAAGTCAGTATATATGCAATCCACTTGCGAGCCAATCGAAAACGCTGAGGTGCAAAAATCGCTAAATACCATTAAGTTAGAGACTGTCGAGCGCCCAGAAATAAATCCATGTTGGTATGGGCTTAGTAATGATTTTACAGCGAAATAGATTTTGTCCTTAACAACACTTTCAAACAGCTTCGAAATATTTGATAGTTTTGCAATTGGCCTATAATTGCGAACATTACTTTTACTACCATTTTTGAAAAGTGGCGTAATTGTTATCTTCCACTCATTAATAAAAATACCGGAAGAAAGGGATTTGTTGAAAATCAAGTGTAAAGGATATGACAACGCTGGGCAGGCTCTTAAAAAGAGCTGATAGGCCGTCTACGTCCGATTTTGGCGAAGTATTGAGAGAAAGCATCGCCCTTGAAACTTCATCAGAGGATATATGCAAAGTCCCTAGATTAATAGAAGGGGGTATTTCAGATGAAAAGTCAGGAGAAATCACAACGTCTTCAACAAAATAGCAATATTCCGCAAAAAGATTAGCGGCCTCAACAGGAGTATTAGCCGACTTGTTATCTAAAAATAATGAACTAGGTATACTAGAAACTTTTTTCGATTTTACGAAGCCCCAGAAAGATTTCGGGTTAGCTTTGATATTACGCTCAGTACTCCTTATATACCTTGTGTACAGAAGATTATTTAATGACTTAAACTCTTTCTGACATTGCTGAAATTTTACAAAGAATGCTTGGATTCTAGTTGATTTGAACTTCTTAAGGTATTTGTTTTTAATGTTTTTTAAATTCATTAAAGCTCTATTATACCAAGGTGACTTATAAGATCGCTTTCGTTTTATAGGTATGTTATTTAAACAGAATTCATTAACTTTTAATTTAAAAGTTGAATAGCAGCTATGAACCTCCGAGTCCAAAAGAAGTTCATCCCAATTAATTTCAGAAATCGACTTATTAAGAGCTGGAAAATCACAAGACGCATAATCGAAGTCACTACTTACATCAGCCACGATTTCCGAAAAAACATAAAATTTTAGCCCGATTTCTAAAGGCACATGGTGCATAGTAGCTTCGGAAATCGGCGAACTGCATTTAGATATACAAAAATCAACATTATCACTGATGTATATAAGATCTAATAATCTATTTAAATCATTAAAAATAAAGTTTACTTGAATGAGATTTACACTGAGGAAATTGTCAATACAGTAAGACTCACGCTCAACGGTATTAAACCCAATTTTCATTCTACTATGTATATTCTCAAAATATTCTATTTGTGCTTATAAAATTTATTTAATATTTTTTTTATATATTAAGTGGCTGTAATATTGGAGTCGTCAACCCAATACTTGCATTTGCACCGCTTATTGTTGCATTTACATCGCTGCTGTCTTTACTACCAGTTTGTGATAGGTGCTTCACAATGTCTACCCAATCCCATCCGCGCGGCCGATCACCTTTGTGATCCGTGCGCTCCCACTGACGACGTTTTTGTGCCTTTGTTAATTGCTCCTTTTTAAGTTCCTTCCTTTTGTTAGCGTCCGTGTTGTCAGAGATTTTTAATGCACTTACGCCTACACTATCTAAATCAATAGACTGCGTACAGGCATGCTCAGGCTGATCAGCAGTTAAATCAATCTGTCGATCTTTGAGGCATTCAAATAGAGTGTACGTCATGCCGCATCCTAACCACTGCTCCGCCTCTTCGCTTAAAGCTTGCAGTATTTTCGCTTTCACTTCAGGTATTCTACATATTTCAATCATTTAATTTATTATATGTATGTATATTAACCAAATCCGAAATTTGCTTACAAATTGCGATTATAGAAAGTGTCCATATTAATCTTCGGCATTTCATTTGGGTAGTCACCAGTCCAATGAATTTCAACCAAGAAGGATTTGTAGTGGTCATCTTCGCCATACTAAAATAAGTTATAGAAATTCAGTTCTTTTAAATATGCTTCGATTTTAATATAACTCAGCCTTATAAGGTTCAGAAACTCAGGATAAGGCTGATTAGGTATTAGGAGGAATGTAACCTTGTATTGAAAAGTGTTTTGGTCAAGCTGTTTGAAGTTCGTATCGCCTTCGTAGATGGATTGCAGGGCTTCTAGCTCTTCAGCCCGTTGTTCCTGTAGATCTGCCATTAGTAGTGCTTGCCACAAATTTTTTAATTTTTGAAAAAAGTGACAACAAATTTTTCGTACAAAATTGCAGAAAAGAAAATTAAACGACCAAAATGAAAAGAATCAGCTGAGTAGTGTAGGTATGTCGGCAAAACATCGATGCATCGAAAATATCGATGTTTGCTTCGAGGCATCGAAATTTTTCAACTCGATGTATAAATACTCGATGTATCGATGCATCGAAACTATAGTATGCAAACAAATGTTTTTTCTTTTGCTATTTCAAAGTATAATTTTATATTTGACAGCCCTCTTGCACTCCTCAAGATTTTGTGTGACTTGCAGCCTTGTGTACGCAAACAGTTCCATTCCTGGGAGCAAAGCTAATGGACCAACATCGCTTTGGGAAGGAGCACCGTACCATTGCCTGCGTTACCGACACAATGTTGTGTGCATGGCAGAAATGGAATTTCAAAATTTCAAAATGTGCCAAACGGTCTTCAAAAATAGAACCGTCGAGCAAAAAATTTGTACGAATTTGTACGAATTATCATGATTTTTGCCCAAATCGCGTTCGTGCAGACCAAAAAATTATCCATCACTCAAAAACTGAGAGCGCAAAGTGACAGTTCTCCTGAGAGAAGTTACGAATTCTTGCTGGAAAATTTTAGCCAGCAAGAATTTGCAATCACGAAAAACATATGATTGAGGCACATGGTTGCATTTTTGTCTATGATATTTTGAATAAATAGTTCGTTAAATTTCAAAATTTATAAGCACGAGCGATTATTTATGAAAAAAGGAAGTAAATACTTGATGATATAATTAATTTAGCTAATTCTAATGACTATGTTAGCATCGTTATTAACTAACACGACTGCCACGATGCCAAAGTAGCGAAGTTACTCGGCATCGCCGCATCGTACGATTACTAACAGCATCATCGATTAGTAACAGCATAGCAGAGTAATAATTCTGCTAATAAATTGGCAGTGTCTGCATCGTCAATAGCAGTGTGATCAGATAATAACAAAACCATATTAACTATACCTGCATAGTGAATTTTTTATTTACTTCAGCATAAATTAATTCATAAAGTCATAGAAATTAAACATATTTCATTTAGCAGGAATGTTAGCATAAAGTAGGAGTGAGAAATAAAAAAATTAATTTAAAAGTGGCATTTTGTTTTAAACTTCTGTATTTTAAGATTGTACCAAAACAGGATGAATTGTGCCAAAAGTGCCTCTGTGAAGGAAAGTCACTGGTGCATGGAGTCAGAGATGTAGGTAACGATATTTAACTGGGGATTATAACTCAGTTATTCATACTCTGTAGCACAGTATATACAGTAATAAACCTTTTTGAGTACTCCTCGGGGGTAAAATCTGATCAGGGTTGAAAATGAGAAGGAGCATGCATTTTGTTGATTCAGAGTTGAATACAAAATTACTGTGGTATGAAAGCAAGCAACAACCGTACTATGACAGAGTGGCACACGTCATGACTGTGGAATAGTGCCCTAAACTAATTTAAAAAGTGTAAAATAGCCGTGGGTAACACAGTGCAGCACCGTGCCATTGCGCTGATACCGAGATTTGAGTTACTGGCGCCGATACCGATTTTCACAACTCAGTGACGCAATGGCGCCAGGAACACCGGAACACTGACAACACCGGGCGGCGCAAAGAACGCACAAAAGAAGTGCCACTTGTAAAATGTGCAGCACAAGGGGAATTTTTACAAGGTGGTGTTGCTAAAACTAACCGCGGTCCTTCTGAATGTGAAAATTATGTGTTTGTTGTATTTTTGGGTTTTGAACTTGGGTATACTTGAGTTGTTTTTGCCCAAACGATACCACCTTGTATTAATTCACCTTAGGGCCGTTTACTCAATATGTGGTTAACACTAATTTCCGTTTAAACATCATTATCGACGTGTTTGGCTCCATGCATATAACATGGAGTCGGTAACGTCGATAACGATGTTTTACCGGAGATTAGTGTTAACCAGA